GGCCATTTAACCATCCAAATGATTTCTAAACGGGTTTATTAAGCTGAAAAAGTTGCCAAGTTCCCCTTTAATTATACTGTTGTCACATTTTATCTTCAAAATAGCAGATTGTGATTTCAATTCATTGTGCAGCCCTACCCACAGTATAACACATCTCCAAAAAAGCTTGAAATCTTATGTAAATATGCTTAAGTTAAAAACACTTAATTTTCTTGCAGCATTTGAGCAAAGGCTGTTTCTACAAGTTTAGGCAGCAGTTAATTTGTCTATTAGCTGCCTACTGTAATTCAACTGGTAAACCTGCAATCATATAGTCTTTTTGGACTCAAGATACTGAAAAATAAGAATTACAATACGAATTTTTCAGCAAAACATGACTTTATTTGACTTTCTGATTTCACTTTTGGCTGGACTCTGACTTGGATGTAGATGCTCTCAGAGAAGAAAGGCGGCGCCTCTTGGCGATCTGTTCCTGGCGCTTCTCTTTGGCCTCCTGTTAGCAGAAACAAGTGTCAGTAAAATGTTTCAACACGTCATTAAAAACAGCTATGTTCACCCCCACACACACAGTAACAGGACATGTCAACATTACAATTTAATAATTCCACACCGTTTATTCTTAACTCCAATGAGGTCAGTGACTGCTAGATAATGCAACAGTTTACTGCAGATTAAAATCAGATGGCAGTGAAAAAGCCTTATACTTGGTGTTTAAGTTCTGTTTTGCTTGTTCATCTAAGTTAATGTCTAAGTACAATAATTCCAATCTGTGAAGGACTTTTACCACTACAATTATAAAGTTCCCATCAAAATATGGTGCAATTCATCTCTGCTCCAAGTTCTGTCTCCTGACAATTACAAAAGGCTACAAGCACCATTTTAGGGGAAATATACGGAGCAATAACCTCAAAATACATTTGAGTAATTTATTAATCTAAAACCACTTAGAAATGTGTCATGTCACAACTAAGAGCCACTTGAGTTCTGAGTAACCAAGCACTGTAATAAAGGAAAAAAGTAATAAAAACATTACCTTCATCCTCTTGGCCAGCAGCTTGGCGTACTCAGAGGCCTCCTCCTTGTTCTTCTGGGTGCGCTGTCTCTTGAGGGAGATGCGGCGGCGCTTGTGCTGCAGCACACGGGGCGTCACCAGTCTCTGGATCCTGGGAGCCTTAGTTCTGGGCTTCTTGCCTACCAGAGAGAGGGCATCCAGTTAATACTACTGACAATGTGAGTAAATACCAGGTATGATGGAGAATGCTGAAGTGGAATATGATTGACAGTGTTAACACTGAGAATGGATGGGAACCATCTTGCATACTCTGGTGTGTATGCATAATGGAATTTTTATTAAGAAAGCCCAGCAAGACACACTTCTAGGCAGACAGGCAGCAGGAAAGAGGTTCTTAGTTTCCAAATATTTATCTGGCAAAGAAACTGAAATCCTCACTGCTCCTTACCCTGACTGCATCATATACAAGACACAGAATGCTGCGTAATTGTGACGTTTCTCTATTATACTGTAAAAGGGACGAACCTGAAAATTGATAGTGGTCATGAAATGTAGCAGTTTGGGTTTACAGTATAAAGTAAACATTTAGGCTTAATACGTCACTACTATTTGAGTTGTGACAGCATATACACTAGTGTATTTTAAATTAGTTTAACCTGTTTACATTAACATGTCCCCAGTGCTTTAATTGTCGTCTTAAAAAAGGACCAATGTGTAGGGTTTACTGGCAGCTAGTGGTGAGGTTGCAGATTGCAACCAAATTAATATTACGGTACTTAAAATATTACGAAACTTGTGAAAGGCTTTAACTAACTGTCCATCCTGGGCTACAGGAGAAACATGGAGTTAAAAACCTCTCATACTAAAACAGTTAACAGAAACACAGGTAGGGCTGTGGGTACATTTAACTCAATACTGAGTTCAAAATATTATTCTCAGTTTTTTCTCTCTCAATTATGACTGAAAAGGGTCTACAGCATATTTTCTCAGACAAATTATAGTCCTTTTATTTATTTCCGTAGTAGGGCATTAACTGCAAAACACTGCATATTTCCTTTTCTTTGTTTTCTTTTCATTGTTCACCTCACTGGTTTAAATATTCAGACATTTGTATTGCGATTTGTATTAACTTGATCCAATTTTGAAGTAACGCACTTTGTTCCCCTAATAATTCCCACTTTTAAACGGCACATTTATGTGGTTTATGATCTCATGTGTCAGTGGAAGTCAAAAGCACACTGAATACAAACCTACATTCAGTGACTCCATGAACACTTGTAAGCAAAAGTCCAAACTGATGTTGGGAAATTGGCTCTAGTCTTACCTTCTTTAGTCAGGGGTCTCCTCACAACATACTGCCTAACGTCATCCTCCTTAGCCAGGTTGAAGAGCTTGCGGATCTTGCTGGCCCTCTTGGGACCAAGACGGCGAGGGACGGTGCTGTCGGTCAGCCCGGGAATGTCCTTCTCACCTGAGAATAACCAGATAAGGGGAAAATGAGTCAGCCGTGTGGATTAAAGCCAAGTTCACAAACTGCACTGCTTACATCTCAACCTTTTGCATGAACTTTAACTATCACTAAAATCAAAAACACAAAAAAGGTAGAGAATAGCCCAACGCACAAAATGCCAAGGGAGACACTCCACTATATCTCATGAGTGCCACACACACACTGTCCTTTATTAACCTGAAACTGCACCAATGCCAAAGAATGAATCACACTACAGCATTTAGTGACAATAAAAGAGCAGCAGCTTCATTCTTCTGACACTAGTGTACATGAGACAATGAGAGAGCAAGTCAGTTCAACCATCCACTGACCCTGGATCTGGTCGCATCTGGTAAGCAGCTCCACAGTTACTCTGGCAACACGCTGTCCCCCCTTAATGACTATGGATCAGTCAGAAACGGTCTGCTGGTGTGCCATAAATATAACAAGTAATATAAAAGACTTCTAGATCAGCACTCCTTTAGTCATCCCTGTGTAGCCTGTTGTAGTTATCCATTGTTTTTTTCTCAATATGCAATTTACTATTTCCATAAAATAGTCCACATCAGAAAGAGTAACACTTTACCTTTCTTGACAATAACCAAGTTGAGAACGCTGAGGTTGGCATCAACGATGCAACCGCGGACAGACTTGCGCTTGCGCTCGCCAGTCCTGCGGGGACGGTAGCAGGAGTGGCCCTTGCTGAGCAGCAGGCGCACACGGCCGTGGGTCAGCACACCCTGCTTCATGGGGAAGCCCTGCTTGTCATTGCCTCCGCTGATGCGCACCACATAACCCTGCACAAGTACAGAAAACAAGTTACTTCTCTGCTCCTCCGTTTAGGGTACTTGGTACGCAGTGTCTGAAAGAAAATGGATTGTTTGCACAAAACAAAAATATCACGTTTTTAACTTAAATGTGTTTGTGTCTCTAAGGAATACAACTAATTGGATAGCCAACTGCACTTTATCAACCATGAGGCCATAATAAGCAGGTGGATGCGGCTCAGAAGGTAGATTTGAAAGATTCAAATTAACTTTCAGCTCCTCCTGTCCACAAATTGAAAGTGTCCTTGATCAAAACATTCAACACCAACGGTTCCCAGTGGCCACGTCAGAGCCGCGTACTGCTAGAAATACAGCCCATTTATCAGCCCTTTGACCTCATCAGAACTTGGCAAACCCAACGTTGGCATTCAGACTACATTTATTCCATACCTACATTCAGACTCAAACTTCAAGAGCAAACTAATGTTTTGTTTTGAGGATGCGAGGGAATTGAGAGAGCAATGCTGTTACAATCAGCCACTGTCATAAGGTCTGACTGTATCTGGTTAGCAGCTCCACAGTTACTCTGGCAACACGCTGTCCCCCCTTAATGACTACGGGTCAGTCAGAAACGGTCTGCTGGTGTGCCACATTGTGAATGAAGACTGCACATGAAACAAGTTAACTGGACTGCATCACAACATTACCTTCCACTCATCTCCCAGAGGGTCAGCAGCCACCTCGGTGGCCATACGCTTCTCGTAGAAAGTACGCAGCTTACGCTCATCGTCAACTTCAATCAGCTTCTGGCAGCCAGTAGCGGGGAATGAGATGTTCAGCTGAAACAAGGGACAAGCAAATGGAAATGTTAGGACATAAACTCTGACTCACGTTGGGTTCTATCTACTTCGACTGTACATACTGCCTCTCCTCTATTCCT